CTCAAATCGAATTTGTAGCTTTTCAACGATGCCTTCAATAAATTAACATCGAAACCAATTAATTAGCAAAATTGCAAAAGAACTCGTTTGAAGATCCAAGTACTCCGCTGGAGTACAGTATTCAATCTTGTGTTGTCTCAATAGAGTTTACGATTATCTGTGTTTGTGACTGATTCATTATACCAATGTTATATTGGACGCGACTGTCCATTTTACGTGACAATGCTACATGGCAGAATGTTCTGTTTTAAGAATGTGGCTACCATTAGGCAGATTTTAGAACGACTTCTAAAGGATATGAAGGTACGAAAGTGACGAGGGAGATTAAGAAAGGGAACAAGGTTTGAAGAAAAAGTATTCCCCCTATAATTTGAACCGGCCTTTAGACTTCTGTTCATAAAATGGAGTTTAATTATAAAGTAACGTTATCCAATTATGGGTTTGTGTCGTGGTTAATGTGTGTAAGTAGCTTTTGTCTACCACACGCAGGTAAAGTCAGCGGTTCTGCTTTGTTCTATCGGTCCAGTCTCGATCTCTCACAGATGAAACAAACCTAAAGTTGCTTAGGGCAATATTTCATTTGTTATCGATCTGACAGAAATTATAATTTGGTTTTAACGGACTGCAAGTGAAGTAAGATCTAATCTTGCAAATTCCTTGCTTTGGAACTCAGTGTCCACAGTCAGCATCGCTTGACTGGTGAAGGCCAATGTTGTTCCTGAGTATTATTACGCAAATTCTATATTTGATGCACGTCGAATAATGAAATGTCTTACTTTCCTTTAATATGATTACTTTACGCTTGTCATCGTTTGACGTCATATTAGAAGCGTTCACTGTTTTCTTGTCAGAGGTCAGGATCTTACGTCACTTTCAAGATAAAGCAAATCCTGCCAGCAGAGGTGGTACCCACATACCACAGACCAGTTGGACAATGAACAAAACTAACTTGCCCTAGTGGCCTAATTCAGTTCAAGATAATTTCTAGCTTCCATTTTCTTATCAGGTTTCTAACAGAAGTAGTTCTGTCTTTCTAGGTCAATTCTATGTAGCACCAACTATGAGGGAAATCAGGTGAGGGTTAGTAATTCTATACGCACGTGTGTATCTGTTCTTTGTTTACGTAACGGTGCTTTGTGAACTGCGTTGTTGGTACAGCACCCAATAATCGACTGAGTGACTGTGGGCGATGAACTGGGGTGAACTGTAATGACAATGGTTGTGGCCTGCGTTAAAATACTGTTGGAGATTTTATCTGGAGAAGGGAACTGAGGAAGCTATTAAAACGTGCCTAGAATCGAATCAGGTTCTCAAAGAACAAGAAATACGAAAGCTGTAGGAATTATGATCTTCTGTCCAGGAGATTTATCTCACCAAGGAACTTGGCACATTTGGATCAAATTTGGCTTTACGTTGCGACTATATATATATATATATATATGTGTGTGTGTGTGTGTGTGTGTGTGTGTGAATTTTAAGATCCTCCATGCTCAATCAAGGTTTTCATATTAAGTTTCCTTTGGTTTGTGTGCAGGAGAATATAAAAAAACAGCTTTCACCAACACCCTAAAATTTCAAAACGCAATACAAATGGCTTTATCTACTTTACAGGAAGGAAGGTATTAATAAAAATGCTGTTCGCACTCCCTGGAGCATTGGCATTTTCAGGAATTCCTTAGTCTCTGAACTCGCCAAGAAATTCCCCGCGATTTGTAGAAGCCGGCATTATCCGTCATCCGACCCTGTTCAGGGTCGAATGGACCCAGTTCAAACCCTCATATTACATTTAATTAAGACCCATCTTAATATTATCCTATCACCTACGGCTAATTGATGTAACTAAGCAATTGTACTGTGTACGATCTCGCTCGGGATCGTTATAATTGCCCAGACGGAATGATAGTGTACGTTTTTGTGGAATTCTAAGTTTCATAACTCTGTTTAAAACAGCCACTGGTGGTTCAATCCCATGTAAACCCTGTGACTTACTTTCTGCTTATCTGATACTTAATTTAATATATTCCCGTCATATACACCTATCTCTCTCTTGAGTGTTGCGGGTTGTTTCGTCTCCATATGCGTGCTACATGTTGCATCATCACCATCTTATTAAAGTTGAGTTAAAAGCATAATTACGAAAGTTCTGTTTATGCTGTTTTGGAGAAGAGACGTGACTCAAGTGTAGGAAATGTGATAATTCTATTTGGGACTCACCCTCTTGGAGCGCCCTCTGGACCTGGTCGGGGGAGAACTGAGGTAACTTGAACTGGAGGGCGTGGCTGTTGAAGAACCTGGACGCGACTTCCACAAGGTACTCAAGCAGTCTGGATGTTTTCTGCGTCGGATCCTGGTCCAAAGAGTTCTGAAGCTCTTCTTCCGTTAATAGAGCCCTGCCGTTCCTCTCGTCGTCGACATCCTGAGTCTTGATTAGTGATAAACCATCAATAACCTGTATATCAGACATTTTGGCTCCTCTGTCCAACGCTGTTACAACCTTCACTCCCACGCAAGACAAGAAATCCTTTTCAGAACAATCGTCTATCATTCTGATCATAAAATTCCAGTTTCCTTCATCTCCAGAACTGCTCTTTCCTCCAACGACTTCATTATCTTGAAGATTTTTTCCTTCAGATGGTATTGTTGGCACTGCTGTTGCATGTTCGGATAATATTATGAGCAACAGGAGTGCGGCTAATGGTGTAATCCATGAATTTTTGAAATTCATCTTTGACGACGTCTTCCTGTGAAAAACACTCAGTAATCCAATGTCCGGCACCAGGAAACACGTGTTATGCAGCGAGGTAGTCAGTCAATGCTGGTAAGGCTCGGTGTCAGAGTGCGGTCGCATTGATCTTCAAGCATCCTTTTTATCAGCCCTACTGAGACCTCAATTTTAGCCTCGGGAGCCCCCACCTCCGTCTGCATCCTGCACAGTCATCGTCACACCTCATATACATACATACGCCGGTCAGACGGGCAAGGCGGAGAAAGGGGTACGAGCTGAGTTAATGGAAAGAGGAAGTGAGGAAGGAGTTATCTCACTTTCCAACGTTTAACAAATTTCAGTTCCAACCTACTACCACGTCTTTAACCTGAAAATAGTTCTGTGTTCGAGTATATGGGTCCTGCTAAAGAAAAATATGTTTGTTTGCATCGTCTAAGGCACCGAGAACAGCGATAAACGACAAGTGCTTTCTGAATACAGCTAGCGAACATGGTTGAATACTCTTTTTACTGTCCTCGATATCTGTGTATTGTCACGCTGTGTTGCAAAGTGCGTGATAAGCCGTGTAGGCTATCCTACTTAAGAAACATGTCCTATTATTTTAAGGTGTTTGTTCTACTGAGAAGTTTACTGAACTGCTGATTCTTTGGATTTGTGTTTTTGAGATATTTTCCTGTTCGAATCTTGGCTGGGGTATGTTTTCCGAGTCCTCATGTCATTTGTCGACAAATAGCCGATTAAATTAATACACGGCCGTCAAATAATCTACGATGAATCTGTTAAAAAAAAATAATTATTTTTCGCCAGTCCGCAAAATATTCCTGAAATACAAACGTACGATGCCTAGGGTCTGGATTAAATTCTGACACTTCTCCTCCTTAATCGATAGACCTCGACCTCGAGTTCGAGCCCCGATGTGGAGAGGGTCTTCGTTGTTTTCCTCGGTCCCTGGGGGGAGTGCCTTAAAATGTAGTGCGATAAATACGACGTCTTTCCAAACCTCATCAGAATCGTTATTCGTAACCGCGATAATACGATAATATAATACCTACATAATTGAGTCTTCGAGGTCTTCCAAAATAATTAATTATTAAACCATCATGTCTATGTGAAATTCAATAGCACGGGTGATAATGTGAATTAATTTCACAGGCCTTGGAATACTGCGAATAATTCTCAAAACCAACGCCTGCCTGAGGATAGACGTTCAGAAGTTTCTTCAGAGAAATATATGCAAGAAGACATTAAAAATAAAGAATTGGAAGAAGTAAACAAAGGAAATGTAGGAATAAAGTCCTCGATGCTCAGTTTAAACAAAGAAGCACTAATTACTTTCTTCCGAATTGTACTAATAATTATCTTGTTTTATTAGAAAGTTCTTATTGAGCTCCTGTCGCAGCTGCTCTAAAATGCGCGTTTGGTAATAAAACAATGGTATAAACGGTGGCGTGCCTTAGTTTCATCTGTTTCTATGCATAACCTTGTCCTGTGGTATGAGATAGGTGACCTCCATGCTGGCATCTCTTGAACAGCAGAAGAAGTATGTTAAACATGGATGACTCTGTTGGCCGTCGTCATTTGAACATTCCGTGTGCCCCTCCCTGCTGCCTACAGTGTTTGTCCCTGCAGGTAGGACCAGGATCAAGCTCCACGGCGTAGGAGTACAGGGTCACAGACAGTCTTGTGACAGTAGGAGACTGGGTTCGATTCTCGGAATGGGGCAGAGTTTCTTCTTCGCTACTGAAAGCAGACCGTCTCAGTAGCTGATGCAGTCCTTATCCGGTGGATATTGGAGGATCTTTCTTTGTGGGTAAAGAAGCCAGAATGTGAAGCTGACCACTTAGTGTCAATTAGTACCGAAGTTAAGATTGATTTAAGCTTGACATGAGCTGGGTTTAGCTCATTCACAAAAAAGTCTCCCGAGACATGGCCACAAGACATGGGTAACCCTGTTTTTCCATCATCTCGGTTTCAACGATGTAAATTTATGTCATCGATGGAACGTGTTCAATGTTGAAGTACAATGTTGTGCGACGATGACCTTGGGCCATATCAGTGATCTACGTAAATGTGGCGTGAAAAATGTCTTTCGGAATATCTGTGTACTCCAAAGGGTACAAATTTCCAAAACTTGTTTTCGAGCTGTGACAGGACAAAATTGAACTCACGAATCTGGAATTCGTTTCTACTGGCAATGAAATTCTGTTTCGTGTTCTTAATATTTGTGACAGACTATATGTATTGTCTCTATCGCCCTTCTTTGTTTGACCCTGAAAATCTTCGGTGAACATACAGATTTTTGTGGAATTTTTCACTGAAAATCTTCGGTGAACATACAGATTTGTGGAATTTTTCAACGTTCTTCTCTACTTGATATCCTAGAATTCTGTTTGACGAAGTTGTGGTAATGTGTAGGAGAACTGTTAGCTTTGATAACAAAAGACCGTTAGATACTTTGCTAGCTATCTGGGAAAGATTAAATCAAATATTATTCTTTGGGATATCCATACATGTAAAGCTGGTTCCCACCTTCTGTGAGCATATTGTACATCCGGAAACACACACACACAGTAAAAAGACGACTTTGTCCATATAATACCAAGAATATACACTGGCGTTGGAAGACAAGGACACTGTCTACGAAAATTGATACTGAACTGGCCTCGATGTTCACTTAATATGGATAGTTCTCTTAGAACAAAGCGAATTATATTACAAGGGCATAAGTTATTAACAATTTCTTATACTTCGACTAACTTTCACATTGTCGAGAATCGACTTAAATAAAATCATTAATATTTAATCTATATTTTATGTCATGTACCAGTTTGCGTGCTGTTCGTTGAGAATTCTGCCAATGTCTTATTCAAATTTCGTCTAAATAAGGAGTTAGTTGGTTTGCGTGCTGTTCGTTGAGAATTCTGGCAATGTCTTACTCAAATGTCGTCTAAATAAGGAGTTAGTTTAATACATTTGAACCATAATCGAACTGTTCCGATAAATTTCAAATCTATTCTAATTTTGTTGTGTAATAATAGTCATGGAACAAACGAAGAGACGTACGAACAAATAAGATTTTTTTAAATTATGCCTTAGTTTTATAGAATCCTTGTGATAACGTAGAAGAATGGAAAGAGATATTTAGACAGTGCACTCTTATTTCAATATCGTGCTACACAAAATAATTCCTTCTTGAGAAAATCTTTGGATTCTCAGTGTCCGACTAATGCATTAAACATGAAGGAACCTGAACCCTAAAATAGATCGTAAATAGTGCGTCGTGCCTCATGTTAAACTATTTGAATGTAAAATTCAAAGTCCTCGCGTGCATATAAAATATCAGATTACTCTCTTGGCCTCCATCACACATTGGTATTGAACTTCAGAAATCTAAAGTAAAAAGTAGCAAGTCTGATGTCTCAGCCAAGACAAAATGGCCGGTACACCAGTACTGCCAACCTGAATTTCGAAACCGTTAACATTAAAGCACGATTCGTTGGACACAATCTGAATCCTGTTTCACCTCCCTACTTTACTTAGATTCATTTTAATAATATTCTTCCACCATTCTCTTTAAAACGACGACATTCGAAAATGTTCAACCACCAAATTTTATTTCTGTCACCACGTTCAAACTGGTTCTTTGGCCAAGCCTGTCTGTTATCCAATGGATACTTTAGATTCTTTATCTGGGATAAAACATGAAGATCGTGAAGCTAAACAGTCCTTTTCATCTTTATCAAATGGTAAGAATGAATGATGCTGTACCTATGTTGGTCCACTCTCTTTCATGGAGTGTTGCTTCCAGGACGAAGATAGTCCAAATAATTTTACGAATTTAGACCGTACCACAAAGAAAACACATCACTTCGCCATTACATAGATCAACAGTCTTAAAACCTTCCATACCGTGCAGTGTTGAATATTTATTTAAAATATATAAAATCACGCATACAAACAAAACTGTTTACACTTTGAAAAACACTTAGTCCATGATTTTATATATTTTGGATAAATACAGATCAACTGGTTAATGCTGTTCAAATAAATAATCCCTGTTTATTCTAAGAATCATACAAGATTTATGAATAAAAAAGGAACACCTCCTGCTTTTTAAATACAAATGGTACATATAATTCCCCACTAGACTATAAAGGGTTAATTAAGAGGAGAGACAACTTCGCTGTCGCCATTGTACGCAGTGTCAAATTCTGTTACAACCTTAAAATTTTCAGAATGTTGCCCACATATGTTTTGTGCCGAGGTGTACTCATTTGTGCCAAGTCATGACCGCGTAGGAACACGCCATCAGTTATTCTGTCCACATGTTGCATCCACCCAGGATCCTGGAGTGTTTCCAATTCTTGTCATTTAGGTCGTCGACCGCAAGAAACATCGATGAAACTTGTTAGTAGAATCAGATTCATTAAATTAAAATGGGGATGATTGGTATGTCTTGTAGCACGAATAGGTAAAAAGTAAAGTAAAGTTTGTCCAGGCGTTTGGGGTGAGAGGAGGTATAGCTCCTCTCTTCCTTGACCCCGGCACTAGATGGGGGTGAGTGGTCAGCATCACGCCCCTGCCGGCTTTACCCCCGGGAAAGGACCCCGGTACCATTGGATAGGAGGCTGGATGGACCCCAGAGCCGGTCTGGACGCAGAGGCCAGAGGAAAAATCCTTGCCCCCGTCGGGGATCGAACCCCGGTAGCACGAATAGATGGTATATAAAATATTAGTGAAAAACCTAGGTGTGAACTAGAGGATAGAATTGAAACGACTCCATATGTTGTTGGATAAGATTTAATGTTCTCGCTGTATTTTTGGATGTTGCATCTTGTAGTCTGATAGTTTATGCACATTTTATGCGTGTTTTTCAAACCATCATTAAGGCAATGATCGGCGCAACATCCTAGAACAGTGTTCCTCAGTCTATGGTACTCGTACCACTGGTGGTACTCAAGCCAATGTTGAGCGTTACGCGAACTATGTAAGAAAATAAAAAGATAATATTAACACAAATAAGTTTTCCCTGAACGCATTTGGTTAGTGGTACATTTAATGTGTTAAATTAGAATTAGTGGTAAGCCAGAGAGAAAGAGTGAGAACTCCTGTCCTAGAAGAAAGTATTTATCTTATTTGTTCGTAAAATT